AGTTTCGAAGGATCCAATACATCAATTTTACATTTTTACCAAAACGTAAATGTCCCATAAAAAAATAAAAAAAAAAGGTCAAAAACTTTCAAGATTCTTAGATGGGTACATCACTTTCAAGGATGGAACTTTTGTATTTGGCCATTTTCAGTCGAGAATATTTGCTATTTTGGAAGAAAATACGTGTCTCTGGCTAGGGATGTCTTGTGATTGAAATATTCTCATTTTCGTCTTATAATATATTTATCTTTAAAAAATATTTAAATATTAAAATAAAATTAAAGAGTCAGGTTTGGTATGGAGATTATGTTCTCTATTCAGGATGGGCATCATATTTTACCATTCCCATCTGTGCGGATAATAATTTGAAATTTTTATTTGAATGAGATAAATTTAAGATGAGCTTTGATGATATCTTTGAAGTCGACAAAATGGGGTTTTAGGAATAAATTATTGACTGTTTTAAAATTAAAAGAATAAATAGAGAGTTAAAACGCAAGTGTGTATTTTATTGATAATCAAGACTAGTATTTATAGGGTTCAAAATGAGAGTTACAATTGAAATGAACTAAACTCTCTAAACTAGATAAAATTTATTTATGCATGATAATAAAACTACATAATCATCAATATTTATTTTATAGTTTTACAACAGTTTCTCTTTGATGATTATTTGAACAATAACTATCTCATTGAAACATGGTGTGACGAAAAATTTGATGGGAAAATTACTAGGGATGGCAATTCGAACTGTGAAAATCGAAAACCGCGGTTAACCGAACCGAATGGGGCGAAAAAAATCGAACCGAATGGTACAATGGGGCAATTATGGTTTTGATTTTAATGAACCGCTTCATTTAAGGGCGGGTATGGTATTTAGTTATGGTCCACCGAATCAAACCGATTACCCGTTAAAGAAAAAATTGGACAATTGAGCTTTCCATTTTTATTTCTCAAAATTAATTGGGCAATTTTTTTTTTTTTTTTGGTTTCCCAAAATTCTGGCCTAATTAATATTAACTAAAATTTTACCAAATAACCCTAACCCCCGCC